CATTGGTTTAACTAGGAATTCGTTTGATTAAAAGTTTCCCAAGTTGTATATCTGGTTATTACTGTCCTGAAAATAATGAAAATGATTGTGAATACGCAGACGCATATATATACGCATAATTCATATAAGATTTGTATGTATATATATAAATATGTATATATATACTTGAATTTAGTTATGTATATATGCATATATACGTACATGTGTATGTCTATACACATGTGTTTACCTGAAACATATATATGCATATATGTATGTACTACACACACATTTGTACATACATATATATGTATGTATATCTCTGTGTGTGTGCTTACTATCAATGTCTTTTTATGCATAAATACATGCACACGTACACTTACATTTCCATGATGTATGCACAAACATAAATATTTATCATACATTCATGCATATTTTTCGGAAAAAGAAATGAAGATAGAAATGCTTAGTAACAGAAAAAGGGCGGAAAACAACATTAGTTGGGATTCACAAGTAACGTCATTTAGCGTGCAACTGAAAATAAAGAACAGGTTTATTGTAGCCAACGAGTAAAGTGTTGCCACCAGGAATCTTGCTCCCATTTTATAATTCACGCACTTACGGAACGTTAACTTAATTACATTGATGAATGAGATATATGAAGACCACGCTATGCAAGCGATTCACTTCTCTCTCGGTTGATTCAGAAATATGAAATCACAACACTTAATTATATTTCATTTCAGAAACTACAATTTTAAAATATTTTCTCATGGATTTCAAAACAATGTGGTATATGTTGCAGCAACGTATCCTAAAGCAAACAGATCTTAGTCATAGCTTACTAGAAACTGGGCAATGTGACGTCTCCGAGTTTTGAAGATACCTAGCAACCTTGCTTTCATTTTTCTTCAGACTTTGCTTCCGTCCTTCCTGCATGTAGCCACTTACTCTTCTCCCTCTCACTTTCTCTATACCCTACTTGTATCCCTTCCCCGCTCCCCCTCCTTCGGTGGGATTTTCTTTTGAATTTATAACCTGCCATTATTCTATTACCTTTGAGATCCAATTAACATTTTAAATGTTGAAATAATGGAATTAACAGCAGTCTGGGTATTTATTTTAGAAAAAAATATCATATACTCCAAATTCGATTTAATGGTGGAAAGTTTTCACATATGTTCGGCCAAACAGCTGTTGAATTATAACGAACAAAATAATATTTTAACAATCATAAATACATACGAATATCATATAACTTTTATAAATAAGGCATTAAAGTGCAGACATTCGACATTAATTATTTCTAGGATTTTTTTCCTTTATCTTTACATTTTGCTCATTTTTTTTCACATCAGATATTTTCTTCGATGTATCTATAAATTATTTGCTAGTTATTTTTCAGGTAATCTAGAAGAGGGAGGGATAGCAGATGTTAAGAGAGAGAGAGGAGTTAGGTAGAAAGATTGATAGAGAAAAAGAGAGGAGCTAGGTAGAAGAGCGAGTGGGAAGGAGAAAAACACCGGTCTGGAAGTAAACGTCACTGAGCACATGGCTGATGACGTCACAGATGAAAGTACAAATCACAGCTAGTGCGTGGAGTGTTGCTAACATTGTTTTTTTTTTTTCCGGAATATCTAGGTTTATAATGAATCAAGATTGAGATGGAGGATTTCCGTTGATTCTCCAACCTCTGACCTTTATGAAACTAAAATAGAAGAACAACTAAGATACAAAGTGATAATAATAATTGTTAATGGGGATTTGTCACGTGATTGAGACAACTATTTTAGCAGAATGGTTTGTAGTAATTGTAGCAGTAGTTACAGATAATTACACATCCTTCATTAAATGTTATAAATGGCTGGCCATAGAGCTTCTTACTGATACCCATTTTTACATTTTCATCTTTGTCATCAGTATAATAAGGAAAGACAAGAAGTGAACTGGAAAAGCAGACACGATACGTTGAAATTCATGCCGCCGTCTTGGGATATCCCGACTGGCAAGGTGAAGTTAGGAAGGGGAGGGAGGTGGCCGCCAGTTCCTGTATATAAGCAACTTTACATCTCCTAGTCTCCACATTACGCCGCTAAACTCTAACCAACAATGAATGTGAGTGCTCGTTACAAGGTGAATCATAATTATATTCAACTGTTTTTTGAGACTCAGATGTTCATATTCTAGTGAAAACAATTGGTTAGTTGTCAATAGGATACTATTTTATTTTACAACAATAAACCAATATTCAGCATGATGAATAATTTCGTTTTCTCCTCTTGCAGAGCATGAAATCCGTGATTGTGTGTTGCCTCGTGGCAGCCGTCTCCGCCGGTGTAGACCAAAGTAGAGGAGGACAAGGATCCAACAGATTCCTTCCTGGAGGGTTGGCTGGCGTCCACGGAGGCGATGTGTTTGGTGGCGGAATCCATGGTAGTGGAATTCATGGTGGATTCCACGGTAATAGTGGTATTATCGGCGGTGGAATCTCCACTGGCACAAGCGACTGCAGATATTGGTGCAAGACTCCGGAGGGTCAAGCCTACTGCTGCGAGACGGTGCATGAACCAGAGACACCTGTTGGTACCAAGCCACTGGATTGCCCACAAGTCCGTCCCACATGCCCACGTTTCCATGGGCCCCCCACTACCTGTTCCAACGACTACAAGTGTGCTGGCCTCGATAAGTGTTGCTTCGACAGGTGTTTGGGAGAACACGTGTGCAAACCTCCCTCATTTTTCAATAACCATCTCCCATTCTAAATTTTATGTCTTATGAATAATGAAGAGTTTTCCGGATGGTAACCAAAGCCAAATAAGTAATTTGTAATATATTTTAATAATAAATGTTTATATCTACTTAAATTTCTTTATTTCCTTCACTTATATTTTAATCATCAAATCAAACTGATAAAGCTATTCGAAATTATGTATTGACACATCTCACTAATTTTTATTTAGGATAATAGGTAAGTAAAGACTGAAATGAACAATATAAGATACATTTATTGTATTAGGATTATTTAGTACACTGTATGGATGGGTGGATGCATATATTACACACACACACATATTTATATATGTTCATAGATATATAGATATATGTGTGTGCCTACTATTTAATATTTTTTTTATGCTTAAATACATGCGTACACTCACATGTACATTACGTATGACAAACAAACATAAATACTCATGCATATGATTAAGAAAAGAATAAAAGGTATAAATGCTTTTTGCCAGAAAAAGGGGGAAAACAACATTAGTTGGGATCCACAAGTAACGTCATCAAGCGTGCAACTGAAAATAAAGAACAGGTTTATTGTAGCCAACGAATAAAGTCTTGCCGCTCCAGGAATCTTGCTCCCATTTTATAATTCACGCACTTACGAAACGTTGACTTGTTTCACTTAATTACATGACTTTGACGAAAGAAACATATTGATGTCACGTTATGCGACTCGTTTTTTTCTGTTGGTTGATACAGAAATATAAGATTACAACGCCTAACTATATGATCATGATCTAAATTGAATTAAGCTTGATCTGAAGTTGCACACGAGGATTTCCGTTCATTTTCTCTAACCTCTGATCTTTATGGAACTAATACAGAAGAACCACTATGTCCGGGGTTTAGTGTAAATCTTTAGGATTTTCTTAGATTAGTCTTGTTCCCCCCTTTTTGTTCCTTTATGATCCTTTAAGTATGGGTCAGTCGAGGCTTGAATAAAAATATATTCAACAATTTGTTCACTGTATTATTCGAAATAAAATGGATATATACAAATACACTAAACGAAAATAAGATTTTCTGAAGAAAAAACAGCCTTATTCCTTAAGTATACAGAAAAGTACAAATAAACTATTTCTGATCAATAACTTCCTTATGACAATATAGATTGCAGATCAGGCACTCCGTATGGGCCTGCGCCCGCGACCAGATGCGCACTGTAGATTTGGGCGTTCGGTATGGGCTTACACCCCACGACCTGATGCATGAGTGACTTGATCGATGAGACAGGCTGTTCGTGTTTGTGCAAAACTTCGAAAGTTCGAACAAAAGTCATGCACGGAGACAAATCAATATTAAAATTAATTTCACTTATGTCACATACCCGTTACTATGGGTAAAATTAACGTCTTCACCGACTTCCAATAATCCTTTCATATAAACAGTTCAAGATCTAAAAAAAAAAAAACTTTGTTTCGGATTCGTGAACCGTCGACGAGGATACACAAATGGCTCGACCACCCCAATCCTCACACACACAATCACTCATTCACATATCTACAAGGAAACCATCACTAACCCTTCACACACTAATATACATATAGTGATACTAAAAATTGTTACTGTTTGAGACAACTTAGTGGGATGGCTTGTAGTAATTTTAGCAATAGTTACGGTAAATGCTGCTTAATAACCATACTTCAGTGAATGTCAGTTATAAGTGGTTGGCCGTGAAAGCTTACTGATACCGAAGCCTGCTCCCCCCCCCTTATTTGTTAGCCCTTACTTTCCATACTTACAGGTAAAAATTGTATTTTCATCTTCGTCATAAATGAAACAAGGAAAGACGAATCGTATCTCGCAAGAAGTGAACTGTAAAACCAAACTCGATACCTGGAGATTCACGCCGCTGGCTGGATATCCCGACTGGCGAGGCGGAAATGTTGGGGAGGGGGAGGCAGCCGCCAGTTTCTGTGAGTAAGCAACGTTGTGTCATCCACTCTCAAGCTTCCGGGCTAGTACAGTGGTAACGTGCCGGCCTCTCATCCGAAGGGTTGGCGGTTCGCGCCCCGCCCAGGCGCGAGAAGTTGCAATTGTCGCCTGGAGATCACTGCTGTGGCTGGGCACCACGGCGGGTAAGGGCTAAGCCAAATCAGCACCAGCTGACACATGTTGGCGAGTCGACATTAGTCGACACAGGACGGGCTCCCCTCATGGTTATACCCCGGGCTTCGCATATCGGACTTATCCGTATCCACTCTCAACATTACTCCTCTAGCCTCTAACTAACA